GGTTGCATCATTTGTGACTATTGTAATTTGTTTTGATATTCTATTCAAGCCAAGTACCTTGTTTATGAATGTCTGAATCAAATTCACGTAAGTCTCAACTCGTGTTTTTCTTGAAACAGCAATTATTGCAAGGCTACGTCACCTTTTCAGTGAACAGATGATTAATACATTACCTTAATGTCTTTTATTACCAGGAATAAAAGCTAATAAACAAAACACGAGCATTTGAGTTAAGTAGATGTTTTATTTCAACAGTTTAACATGTAAAACCACCCTTTAAGTATGATTGAAACTTATAATAGTTAATTGTAATAATTAATTGTAACATCCTGTTACTGGAAAGCCAGTCAGTCACAAGCAAATACGAGCGTATATCCAGCAACCGTAAATAGAATGAGAATTCCCTCACTAATGAAGAGTTGACACTTGGCAAGCTATCCAAAACAAGTGTGGCATAAAAGACGATTGTCTGTCACATGCAGGGCACTAAAACTGAACTAATTACACCATATGTACTCATTCAATGGTGGAATAGTTTAAGAAATCAAATGTTCAACTGTACCTGGTCTGTTATGTTATAGAGAACACTTTTTCAATAAACATAGTGATAAACCAAATGAAATAGCATTCAGTTAATCAATTAACCCTTGCTCCCCTGAATTTCAAAAATGTGTAATCTTTACATATAAGAGTATTACTTTAGAAATGACTCTCACCGATCATCATCCCCTGGGATAGCCAATGAATGACAATTTCCGTGGTAACACGTGGCCTTTGATTGAATGTCTTTAACTGGTGAATAGGGTTATTACGAAAGGCACTGACTTGCTCAGTTCGTGTTCAACTAAAATACCCGGATGCGACAGGTGGAATCGGTTCCAATAAAATCGAAGATTTATAAAGTTGTGACAACTTTTCTATTTTTACGTTTTGGCGAATTCAAACAAAGGAGGTCACTGGTATTTTTTACTTTCATTGGTTTTATGTGATCATAACCTACTGACGAATCTTTGAGGTAGATGTCCTTCTTCTTGTGTCACTTTTTCAGATATATACTATGTTGAAAATTGTCAGTTAGTTTTTAAAATGAATATGCTGGGATTTTGGTTTGCTAAACTATGATCTATTTCAGTAAAATAGTTATTGATTTCATTATCATTTTGTAATAGTAAAACGAATCTTTGAAATTCGACCAAATTATCTTAGAATAGTGACCAGTCACTTTTTATATTTATTTTTGCAACATTAGAGACACATTGCATATACATAGACAATCCTAATGGAATTCATGATTATTTTATAAAATTACAACAAATGACTTTTTTCTAGCCATGTACATACATATTCACCTAGTCCACGTGCCTGAGGTACGTGACATCGCAGACCTACAGTACACATACTTAAATCAAATGGATGGTGCAGTAGGTCTAATGACACAAAAGGGAAACGTTTACTAATGGGTACTTAGGATTTTAAGGAACATATTATCCTAGATGTAGAATGAAAACAGTTAGTGGCAATCTCTAGCTCTTTTATTGCCTTGTTTATGAAATTCGCACAACTTCATTGTATTTCTTTATCATGAATGTGTGGAAATGGCTGATTAGTGTGTACAAAAAACAGTTCTTAATCGTAGTGTACACAATTTATATTTCTTTTATGTACTTTCTCCTGTTTTTGATTAATACACTCTCCTCCATAAGTTTGGCTAAGCTCTCACATTGAACGTCACGTGTAAAAGCCTCTTTACCTTGGAATTTTTATTTACTTAACCAATGGGAAATGGTAGGTTTGCCGCAAGTCATATTACAGAATATCAATCCATCCGAGTCATTACAAAAATACGAATTAGGTAGGCAATTGAATTTGCCAACTTTACTTAACAAAAAAATGACACGTTTCTTCAGGTTCAACAAAGTTCTTTAAAGTCAAAATTGTTTTTCAAAAATCCTATCCCATTGAAATAACAAAGGAGGCGAAAAATGATTTTCAAAAATGACTTTGAAGCTCTGTAACTTAGTATTCATCAAGTAAACTAAACACCTTGTGTACAAAATAGTTAGACAATTCAATTTTCTAAATAGAAATATTTTTAGCTGAATATTTTACTGAATAGATATCATGATTTCTGATTTGTACCGAACCCACCATTTCCCATTGGTTTACATAGGAATGACGATTTTCAAAAATTCATCAAAATCATAAATTTTTGACCTATCTGCTAGCAGTATCCCTTCCATCTGATGCATATGTTAAAACAAAACTATGCAACTTTCTTCGGAATGGCAAAAGAGATAAAATTTCAAAAAAAGTACAGTTAGAACTGATCAAAGGAGGACTAGAAATGGTTAACCTAAAAGCCTTTGCCAAAAATGCAAAGGTTAAATGGTTAAGAAAATATTTCAATACAGATGACCAAGGTAAATGGAAAACTTTATGGAAAATAAAGCTAAAACTATGATAATAAGGAAAAATGGAATTGTAATGCTATATGGACCCAAAAACATTAGAAGACAAGGTAAACATTACAAGCATCTATGAAATACTAAAAATATGGTGTGAGCTACACTACAAAGTAGCAAATGAAATTGTCACGAAGGAAGAAATAAAACAACAAATTATATGGAATAACATCTGCATTCGTAACAGAAAAGAAACTATTAACAACAATGAATGGGAATCTAAGGGAATAAGGCATATACATCAGTTATATAAAGAGAACAAATTATTAAGATTCCAAGAACTGGAAATCAAATATAATGTAGCTCACCAAACATTCTTAGACTATAACAAAATTGTACTATGTATACCATTATCATGGAGACAAAAAATGGTGGAAGGGGGAGAAACTCGTACAAACTGGAAACCACTCAGAAAATCAATTGCCAAACATCTCAAATAAAAGCACTTATAGGATGTTTAACCCTAGAAGCCCTAAGGGGGGGGGGTCAAAATGACCCCCCCCTGTTAAGTTTATTCCCCATAACTTTTTATTGGCATCTGGTAGGGTCTTCAAATTTTCAGTAGCTGAAGCTACAGATATAAGACATGTTTTCTGAAAAAATCAGCAGAATTGTCCATAGGGTTACTGATTAATTATGATGTAATCATCAGCTGCAATAGACAAAATCGGAAAAAGCTAGCACTATTTCTACCATACATGTTATCTTTCGAATGAGATTACACAATCTTCCATCATCAAAGTTGTTAAAGTTATTACACCAAGTTGTAGATAATTGAATGAAGTATATTTTGGTAAAAGTTTGAACATCCTAGCTTTACTAATTTGTTATTTATTTATTATGATGTAATCATCAGCTCCAATAGACAAAATCAGAAAAAAGCTAGCACTAATTCTACCATACGTGTTGTCTTAAGAATAAAATTACGCAATTTCACATCATCGTAGTTGTTAAAACTTTTATACCAAGTTGTAGATAATTGAATGAAGTATATGTGGAAAAAGTTTGAACATCCTAGCTCTACTAATAAAAATTTTACAAGGGGGTGCCCTTTTGACCCCCCCCCCCTTAGGTGTTCGTGTGACTATTTTTACCTTAAAGGGCTTCTAGGGTTAAAAGACAGAAAAAAATACAACCAATAAAAGCACAAGACAGGTGGCTTAGGGAGCTAAAATTTAAATGAGGATAACTATAAAGAATGGGCTGAAATATACACCACTTATAAAATGATAACAGAAAATGCGAAACTTAGATACTTCCAGTTCAGATTATTACACAGAACAATTTACTTCAATAAAATGCTAAACAAAATGAATATATAGGGAAAAACACGCCAATGTGTACAATTTTCAATGAGAACCATATAGATAGCATCGAACATGGATTCCTAAATCCTAGAATGTACAGCCACAAAGGACTTCTTGAGAATGTGCTATGACGAAGCTGGTGAAAATATACCAGAAAATAAAGACATTATTTTCGGATACAGTAGAGAAAAAAGACAACAAAATAAGCTACTGATTCATATAAAAAAATTCATATACTTAAGAAAATTAGGAGACAATAGACCATAACTAGGTCCTTTTAAAAAATACCTCCAGAGTCAAAAAGAAGAAGGAAAATACATAGCGAAGAAAAACAACAAAATGGAACAACATGAGACACTATCGAATATCTGTAACAGACTTTTGCGTTCGTTAATATCACCATTTATAAGTGACAAAAATCTTTCCTTTCTCTCTCTCTCTCTCTCTAATAAAGATTTATTAAAAAAATTTCCACCTATTGTAATTGAGGAAAATAATTGGGAAATATTGGAAACAAAGTCAAGTTACGTTTCCACTAATATAATACTGTAATTGTAATCAGTGATAAAATATGATATTTTTGACAAAGTTTCACTTAACCATAGCATACGGTGTCTAAGCCATGACATACGGCGCCGTATGCTATGAATAACACCCCAGTCACATTTGTCGTACGTGCGTGCGTGCGTCGACCGCAGATCAATTAAATCAGTGTATTTCTGCGGCGAGCGCAGGAAAACTACGCTCGCCTTGCGGCCTCCGTACGGCGTATCCAGTTTTTTACAGGCCGCAGGGTCGCCGTAGAAATTATAACTCGGAGTTATAATATTTGTTCATTTCTGAGGTCCCCGTAGAAATCAACTGGCTCAACAAGATTGAATCATTATTTGTCAATGTTTCACGATCACTTTTCATTTGATATTACATCCTAGCACTATGAATAACATTTATAAATTGCCCTGATGTAAATAAAATGAAAAAAAGTATTATTTATCAACAGAAATTTAAAATTCACCGTGCGGCTGCCGTGGTAAATGTGACTGCAAAAGTATGAGAGCGCAGAAATTCCACGGCGAGCGTAGAAAAGCTACTGGCCGCAGAAATGATGGACCGCAAGGTCGCCGTAGGAAATGTGACTGGGGTGTTAATGTAAAACATCCATCAAGCTTTATCATGAGGTTCTTGATTAATCATTTTTTATTTATATACACATAGTTAAAAAGAATGAGATCCAGCGACTAACTAAAATTGTTTCTATTTTTGAATGTTTTTGGCTCATATCTGTCCTTATAAGGTATATTTTGAAAACTAAGAGTTCCACAGTGATGTATTATTTTTCTATGATTATGGTATACAAGTATACAAGTATTGTGTTTGAGATCATAATAAGGAATAGATTTTTAGGCCAATTATATTCTACGTGTTGCTTGCCATTTCGCCACTCCCTATAAAACTGATTTTGCCTTTAACCTGAAGATATATGTATCGCGTCCGTGTTTGTATTACAAGTCGCCAGTGGAATTGCAACTTGATTGTCCCGTTTATCATCCACACGACGATTAACCTTAGAGTACAAAGTGTCGTGATCACTATTCCTGTTAAAGTCCAAAGTGGTACCTGGTAGTCGTCCGAAACATCCCTTCAGAAGCCTCGCGTATCCCTTCTTTATTTCTCCTGTTCTCCGTCCATATATGATCGGGTTTGTTATAAAGTTCACATAGGGGATATAACATATCAGATTATTGTAAAGCTTTTGTAAAGATGCACTCCAGTAATCGTAGCGTATTAACTTCACTGTTATGTATGGTACGGCGGTAAGGATGAGCATCGTCATGAGTATGACGCTCGTGGCGAACGCCTTGTGGTTTTCCTTGACGTTGGTGCATGATCTTCTCCCATTCGATAATCGCAAAAGACTAATCGACACTTTAATATACAACAATATAACAATTACGTAGATTGTTCCGAGGAGACATGGCCAGACTTGGTCCCATAAAATGTTCACGTCTTGACCATGGAGAAAGGCGGCGACTCCCGGGAGGCTTATGAGGAAAGATACCAACCATGCCAAGGCGATGTAACCTCGCATATGCCACTTCTTGGACACATTAGCGTATAGTGTCGGTTGAGAAATAGCGATATATCGCAGAACTGCGAGGATAAGTAACAGCGAAGCGCTTGTACAGTAGAACGTGGCAAACAAGATGACGCTGACCGCGTGACAATGAGCAGAGAATGTTAAATGATGCAGCGTGTACCAGGTTGCACCTCCAATCATCAGCCGAGGAAAGATTTCTAAAGATGTCGACAAAGCACATAACATATCAGCTATTGAAAGGTTAATAAATAACACATAAACAGCATTGTAACTTGTCACCCTGTTTATCACGATTATGCTGACGATGTTAATAAAAATTGCACAAACGCACAATAAACCGGCAATAATTCCAAAAGTCATGGCCGATGAAAATTCCTCGACCGCAAGAGCGTTCGGTGTAAAATTATGGTTGAAGCTGGTAAAATTAAACTTTAGGTTGAAGTAATCCAAAATGTTAATATCCATGTTCTCGTTGCTTTTATTTTGAAACTCCATCGTTTATTGTTATCCAGAGAGTAAACGTTCAAAAAATCAACCAGCTGTGATTTAATCAACCATTGTTATGTAACATTTGTAGTGCTAGTGTTCAATTCCGTAATTTCTTAAACACAGAGTAATTAAATTATCTGCATCTACAAACGTAGACGTAATAATATACATCAACAAATCCATTCAACTAATTTCCTCTCAGTTATCGAACTGCTATTACTTCTCAGGCGTCTTTAGAACTGTCGATCTGCAAGCGCTACAGGTTTGAATCTATTCTGCGCCGAAAATTACTACTATCAATACCTAAGGATTGAGGGGATTTATTAAATCTAGACATACACTCCCCTCCATAAGTTTGGCAACCTTTGCTCCCCATTGAAGTTCGTGTTAAAGCCTCTTTACCTTCGCTGGTGATCCGCTCGATTACGCTGGTAACAAAATGTCGGAACGTCGACGGTACGATTTTTCTTTTTTTCCTTATTTCATGCGTTGTAGGCAGAATCCCCACGACATTTTTTCACACAAACGTGTATCAGTATCATATGTTTTAGAAAAGGTACATGTTTGCGAAAAATAGCTCAGAAGACAACATAATCGTCAATTTAATTCCTCACTTAAGTTACAGAAACGGTATGGGTTAAAAGTACAGATCTTAACTGTTTTTCGAAATATCGTTTCTGTAACTTATTTCCAATACCTCCAGATTTGCTCAATTTTTTCCTCAATTACAATAGGTCATTCCCAATTCAGGATATCCATTTAGTTAAAGATTCAGCAAAAATATTTTTATATAAAAAGTTGAATTGTCTAACTTTTTGTACACTATGTGTTTAAGTTTACTTGATGAGTACTAACATTACAGAGCTTCAAAGTCATTTTTGAAAATCATTTTTCGCCTCCTACGTTATTTCATTGGGAGAGGTTTTTGAAAAACAATTTTGACTTTAAAGTCCTGTAACTTTGTTGAACCTGAAGAAACGTAAACATTTTTTGTTAAATAAAGTTAGCAAATTCAGTTGCCTACCCAACTTGTGTTTTTGCAAGGACTCAGATGGATGGATTTTCGGTCATATGACTTACGGTAAACCTACCATTTCCAATTGGTTAACATGGGAATGTCAATTTTCAAAAATTCATCAAATTCATCAATTTTCGACCTATTGTAATCGAGGAAAAAATTGAGATAATTTGGAGGTATTAGAGTTAGTTAGTTAGTTATATATTTATTAGAGTCTCACGCTGAAATTTTTACAATCATATAAAATCAATAAATAATTAAAACAGCAGCGCAGCCGGCATCGGCTTATGAGAGACTTAAAACTTGTAATTACTAAAATAATTCTCTTCTTTTCCTTATCATGTGTCCAATGGTTTTAGCAAGTAATCGTTGTAAAGAAGTGGTAGTTAGTATTACACAATATTTAACAAGTGTTGGTAGTGAATCGACATCGTGTACAGTCTGTTTTGCTTTTTCAAAGAGTGTTGTTCTTAAATCAGTATAAAAGTCACAGGAAGTGCATCTCGTCTTCGACAGCATTTCTATTACAACAAGTACACAGTCGCTCATTAAGGGGGATACCGCTATACCGTCCGAGTTCAACGTTAATGGGAAGAGTGCCTGTTCTTAACTTGGCTAGATTGCTCCGTTCATGTTTATGCATAGGAATTCTAACATATTCCTCCGCCGTTACCATTTGTGTTTTATGTAATCGGTAAGTCCTGTGTTTATTACCGTTTTCAGGATTATGACGGTCGTTCCAAAGTGCGGCATGCCATTCGTCGGCTTCGACCTCAATACGATGGTCTTTAAGTGATTGTAGTATAGATCTTACACCGGAGATTTCACCATCAGTGATAAGATTTGGTTTGTTGTTATCTCGTAACAAACGCTGCATTTTATATTCCCACGAGTTATGCTGCGTCAGAGACCAAAGGTGAATTTTCTTTGTTATTCTGTGTTCTGACATGTTTTTGAGCCGACACCACAATCTCGTTGCTTCCACTTGCTTAGTGTCAACTGAGACCCAACACATATCTCCTTGTGTAGCTATGTTTGACGCGTGTTGGCCGACACCTAAGTAGAAACGCCGGGCTTTGTTCTGTACAATAGTTGCGGCTGCGCCTACTGTTTTGTTTGTTCCCCATACGCCGGCACTATAATGTAACACTGGTGCAACTAGACAGTCAAATAAATGGGTGTAAACCTCATAGCTTAAACCACCGTTGGCTCGTGATTTTGCCATTATTGCTCCCAAGGCCCTTGATCCTGACTTTGCAAGGATTGTTGCAGATTTCGTCATGTCCATGTGTTCATTGAGCGTCAATCCCAGATATTTATATTGCGTCGCGTACTCTAGGTTAAGGTGGCCACAGCTAAAGTTGAAATTAGATTGACGGATGGTGGTAGGGCGGTGGTGTATTATCTTAGTCTTAAGCTCATTGATTGTAATGCGCCATTTACAACACCACTTATCCAGGGTGTCTAACATACGCTGGAGGTTGTTTTCCGTGGGTGCTATAAGTACCACATCGTCCGCGTACATTAAAATTCCAATGTGTGTATCTCCTACTTGTATACGCCGCAGTGCAGTGCGGAAATTTCCTCGGCCAAGTCGTTTGCATACACTGCGAATAGGGTCGGACTCAGCCTACAGCCCTGTTTTAATCCAGAGTTTACGTCAAACCAAGATGTAAGCGTTCCATTAATGCGTACCGAGTATTGAACTCCGACGTAAAGGGACTTAATGGCACGTAAAATGCGACCCTTGACACCCGTCATAGCAAGTTTATAATACATACATTCCCTATTGATGGAATCAAAACAACGTTTTGCGTCGACGTATGCTACGAACGTGGATGCGTTATAACACGAAATAAAGTCAAGTTACATTTCCATAAATAGTATATTGTATTTTCATCGGTTAAGTAAATAAAATTCAAAGGTAAAGATACTTTAACACGTAGTTCAATGGGAGAGCAAAGGTTGCCAAACTTATGGAGGGAGTGTACGTGTCCCTTCAATCTAATATAAAGTCGCTAGCAGCTGTCGATGCCACGTTCGAGATAATACAGTTACACCATCCTTCCGCACTTTAATTCATTGCGGATACAAGAACAAACACATTCATATTGCCTAAGTCGATTAATGACTCACATAAATATTACATGCAATCTTAAGGAGGCCCCCGTAGGTGCGTTTGATAATGTGAAGGTCAGTCAAAGGTCAAATCTAAGGTCATATTGCAACTCCTGACAACGTGTAGATAATGTCTAAGATTCGATCAATTTTTAGCAAGTTGAAGTCATTTTTGATCTTCAATATCTCAAAATTGGTGTAAATTGTTATATATGATTAATTCTAATATGCGTAGAACCGTTGATGAATGTATATTTGATTTGTAGTCTGAAACTTTGAAGGTCAAATCCAAGTGCATATAACCTAAAAATGGTGAAATTGAAAGCAAGTTAAAAATACATTTCTTTAATATTTTCTTTCTTTAAGCACACATGATGCATCATCGGACGTTATCAACAAAAGTAAGGCCACCTTAAAGGACAACTGAAATAGCTTTTCTCAACTTGCAGCTACAAAAATGCGGTTTTCTCCATTGTAAGCCCAACGTAGAGTTCTTGCGATAGCCATTATAAAATAAATGTTAGATAACTGCTAACGGTCATAAATAACGAAACAAAACTAACTGATCAATCAAATTGGCCCCCACGTGATAAGTAACGTCATATACAAAATATAGCTTTGGTTTGTTGGTTCCTTAGTAATCACAACGTCACGGCAACCATAGGATTGTAGTGTAAATCAAAACAAAACATTTAGGCATTATGACGTTATGGGCCACGTGGGGACCAGTGAGAGATCACGTGGGGGCCAATAACGTCACAACCAATTCGAATATTGCTTATTAAGCAGCTATAACGATCGTTAGAGTGAAATAGTTTTCGCACTACTGATGAGAAAACATGTCCAAATACATTTATCAAAAAATTATATTGATTCCTGTAGGTTAAAAATACCATTTCATATCTGCTTTAAAGGTTGGAAGGGCAGAAATTCAAGAAATCAGTTTTCATCTTTTAGTTTATTTTAAAATATTATTTAGTTACAAGACAGAGCATATTCATCACTTTGTTTTAATAATAAAAAATACATATAGTGCTGGCACTGAAAAGCATCAAAAGTATTTTGAAATTTAGTCTAAAAAATGAAAAACTATTCAAAATGGAGAAAGTTTCCGCTAGTAAAAATTGGGGTGAGTGAATCTAAGAAGTAAATTTCATGTTTGTCCACTATTTATAATATTTCCTTATATTTAAAATATGTTGCTACATATGAATTTGATAAATTAAACCATGTATCAAAACTAAAGCAATTTGTCAGATGTTAAATCATCAGTTGACTGGCTTCGTTCACAATTTTTTTAAAACTCGTTTTTATTGTTTTTAGGACTCGTTGCTAATCCTCCTGACCAAATTATACATTTTATTCGATTTTCCCCTCGTATTTGTCTTACTTTCTCAGCATGGTTGACATTTTGATTACAGTTCTCTTATGTCCAATCATCAAAACACACCAAAACAATAACAAAGATGACCACAAGGCTGTTTCCTGAATCAATTTCGATCAATACTATAATGTTGTTCAGAAAAACAATTGAGGTTGTTGACCTGATGTCCCCACAATGGATACCTTGTTTTTCAGTTCGTCGTCGAAAACATATCTAGCAGTAAGTTTATTGTTAAAAAATATTGTTATGCATCATTATGCCAAATAAGCCATAGGCAAATCTTTATTTACATTTTGGAAAATTTTTACTCAATAACATTGAAGTCAAAATTTTATGACAAATATGATGATTTTATTTATCATAAACATAAACACGCGTCTTATAAGGGATTGGTATTGTCCAGCGGAAGAGAGACACTGGGGCTCTTTAATATATATTTCAAAACATAAACACGCGTCTTATAAGGGGTTGGTATTGTCCAACAGTGGTAAAGAGACGTTGGGGCTCTTTATTCTTGTATATTTCAAACATAAACACGCGTCTTATACGGGGTTGGTATTGTCCAGCAGCGGAAGAGAGACGCCGGGGCTTTTTATTCTTGTATATTTCAAAACATAAACACGCTTCTTATACGGGGTTGGTATTGTCCAGCAGTGGAAGTGAGACGCTGGGGCTTTTTATTCTTGTATATTTCAAACATAAACACGCGTCTTATAAGGGGTTGGTATTGTCCAACAGTGGAAAAGAGACGTTGTGTCTCTTTATTCTTGTATATTTAAAACATAAACACGCGTCTTATAAGGGGTTGGTATTGTCCAACAGTGGA